TATATATTATATATATATATATAATATATATATATATATATTAGTTCCACTCTAAAGCTGAAAAGTACAATGTAGTTCAGCTAAGGACAGACCTTATTATGAATATCTCTGTAAACTCACGACTTTTGTATACAACCAAGAAAATTGAATATTTCATTCAGGCAATTAATGCTAATTTAAATAATGTACACATTTAAGATAATTTAAATTATATGCGTACGTAAGGACATTATCATATCGATTTTTATTAGCTCTTTTAGATACTAAAAAATTAATATCAATTAATTCTTAAGTTCTAATCCTAAGGAGTAATTTTCCGTCCCAATTCTGTTCCAGTCTTCCTCTTCCTCCCTCGTTTTCGCTAAAAAAAGAAACTTCGAAATAAAATTTTGCTTATGTTATAATGATATTCACGCCGGCTGTCATTAATAGCAGTAATTACTAGTAAAAATTATATACATGGGCAATTATACTAGTCATTACTAGTAATAATTTACTAATTCACCCCCCCACCCCTCCTCCCCCCATTGATGATGCTACGAGATAAAAGAACTCATTCGTTCGTCACATGATTCGTTGCCTCGTTCTTCATATTATCCATTTGATCCGGAATAACGATATCAGACTGTTCCGTTTCCTTGTGTAAGGCTATAATGATTTTTTGTTCAGTGGAAGACTGGCTGTCAGAAGATCCTTCCTGAGTGGACGTAGCAGCTTCCTATAGTTATGTTTTATGTAATATCACACACACACACAAGTGTACATACAAGTACACAACAAGTACGGCTATATACGTACCGTGCTTCGTAACTTCGTGTGCGTTTTGATGTGCTTCGTCAGGTGATCCGATCGCATGAATTTCTTCGAGCAATCCCCGCACTGGAAACGCTTCTCGCCGGTATGCGTTCTACGATGCCTCTGCAGCTCGTCGGACCTGGTGAACTTTTTGCCGCAGAACACCCAGGTACAAACGAACGGTCGTTCGCCGGTGTGCCAACGTAAGTGAGCGCGCAAGTGACTAGTTTTTCCGTACACTTTATTACAACCAGCGATGTGACATATATGTTGTCGTTTCCTGGTCAAGTCTCGGTTTCTGCAGAAAGGTATACAGGGTGTCCCAAAAAGGTCAGGAAACCCTTAAAAATCTCGAAAAATATAAGTTTTACAGAAAAATGCTTCGCATAAAAGCTATAGGGTTTAAAACGGTCTATTTACTGATCTTTACTGAATCTATTTACTGGATCTATTTACTGGAACACTTTCCTGTAAAACATATTTTTCGAGATTTTTAAGGGTCCCGACCTTAATGGGACACCCTGTCTGTATATATGTATTTACATATAATTCTTTAAGATATACATCCAGCTCTACATAAAACAATTTTTTTTACTGTCGTTGTTACCGACATAATGTTCTTCCTGGTGATGTTAGTGGTCGATTTTTACTACACACTAATGTTATGAAAACATGATTATGTTATGAACTACCACTCTGTTCAAAATTTTATAAATTTTTATAAAGTGATGTTCTACATAATTTTACAAAATAATTTTCTACAACTTCACAGAATAATTCTCTATAATTTTGTACAATTTTTGTAGAATTTCGGGAACAGTATTTGAATATATCTAGAGAATAGCACTTGGCGTTTGACAAGGACGAAAGTAATTGTTTACATATATACACACCTTTCTCCCTCACCGCAATTAGGGCATGTGCACGCGACTCTCCTTCGGTGTTGCTTATTACTGTCGGTCTCTGCATTGGAGTTGGACGCGTTCGATACCTGTTGTTGTTGCGGTATGGGAGTGGTCGTCGTCAAGGTTCCGTTCGATTGAAGGGTCTGAAGAATTTGCCACTTGGTAGGATCGTTCGAGTCAAGCTGTACAGTGGGCGTAGCGACGATGGGGGTACCAGCGGTGGCGGGTAACGTTTGCACCGTGGCGGGTTGCAACGCGCTCGCTGGTATCACTTGCACGTTGCCTAAGCCTGGAATATTTTGCACTGGTATCGACTGCAGAAAACCGTTCGTCGTGTTCATCCCGGCAGCCGGCTGGATTTGCATGATGCTCCCGTTGCTCACATTCCTCATCATGTTGCCCTGCTGCGAGGTCAGGTTTGCCAGCGCAGACGCGGGAATGAGCGTCAATTGCTGTCCTTGCGCTCCTACAACAGACGCTTAGAGTGTATCATTCCGCTCTTGCACGACGACAGTTTCTGTTTAACTTTTCAGTTAACCCTCTAATGGCAAGGTGGGTATTCAGGACGTCAAAGAGTTTTTCAGTTTTTTTTTTAATTCTTTCAAGTCTGTAAGTTTCATTATATTTTTTTCATCTATAAGTAAACAAAGGAAGAAGGTCTTTTACCCATTTTGTATATTAATTAGATGAAAAATGAACAGAGCATGAAGGTAGAATCCGACTCTAATTTTACTTATTAGAGGGTTTAGAATCGAGGCATGACTTTTCTAGTTAATGAAAAAACAATCGATCGATGATATATTCACCTGTAATCGTAATAGGCTGCACCGTAGGTTGAGCCGACTGTGCGGCAGGGATATGTATTACCTGACCACTAGCTAATTGACTAGCGTCGATACTGGTTACCTTAATGTCACCCTCAACCGTTTCGGGCGCTCTTGCTAAGGTGGACAACGTCTGCATGTCGATCTTTTGGCCATCTTTCGTGGTGATCACATTAGCGTTTCCCGTTACAGTTCTTCCTAATGCACTTATACCGAGTACCTGGGAGGACCAAATTTTTCACATCACTTGAAAACGCTGATAAACATACGTACACAGAGAGAATTTCACCTACTTTATAGAGAGAGAGAGAGATATATATTACCTACCTGCACATTGCTGGGAGTCGCAACTGTTGTGCTCCAAGTCGCTACAGTCGACGATGGGGTGGAAGATTGTATCTGTTGTTGCTGTTGCGTTTGCTGCTGCTGCTGCTGCTGCGCCGCTTGCTGCGGTTGCTGCTGTATCACTTGCTGCACCACTTGCACCTGCTGCTGCTGCTGCGCTTGGGCGACTTGTTGCTGCTGCTGTTGCTGCTGCTGAACCGACTGCACTACTTGTTGCTGAGTTTGCTGCTGAACGACTTGTTGCTGCGCCTGTTGATGGGAAAGTTGCTGAGCTACCTGTGTTACTTGTAGATTCTATAATTACCACGGTCAGTGCGCACGGTATTCAAGCAGAATCGCACAATGAAAACGGATCTATTCGTTACTTCTCGACTTGTCGGTACCTGAAGATTCTGCAGCTGTGGTATATTAGCGATCTGCACCTGCTGGATATGACCATTCGGCGAGATTATTGATGCTACTTGAGGTAACTGCTGAAATTAAAGCGACCAGAATGTGTATCCTCGTTCACACGCACACACACACACACACACAATGTACTCGTTCATTGCAATGTGTAACTGGTTATTTTATGCTATTTAGACGACTATGTCTTGTAACTTACTTGTGTGATCTGAGGTATCATTTGTGTCGTGGGCATATTGAAAACATTGGACAAGGCTTGAACAGGGAAGTGTACAGTCTGAAAAACGGTTTGGCCGTTACTGGCAGTGACTGGTACTTGCACAGGCACGGTTTGTTGAACATGTTGCATAGGAAACTGGAGCGGCCTCACTTGTACACTTTGACCTGTGGAAATGTACGAACGCACTATTTGATCGGTCTCTTACGCCAGAACAAAGATAATTAGACACATATGTACAATGTAAAGTCCCTCGAGTAAGAGTTTGGTCATCCTTCGACTTCTTATTGATTGGTCTAGAACCTTATTTGATCAAAAATGGCGAAACTGAGGATTGTCAAGTAAATAGATTCTATCTGTAACTAAATGTTATTCTAAGATGAGAGATAAATGATAATAAAATAATGGAGACACTAATTTTCGAGAAATTAAGAAATCTACTTTTATGTAAAAATAGTATTATATGTAATCAGATAAATGATACGTATATGTCCTAAGAGAAACATGCCTGAACTCGATATATCGCAGACAATCATCATAAATAAAGATGTTTTGGTCACAAACCAGACGTCATTTTTATTGAAAAAAAAAAAAAAAGTCGAAGATTAGACTCTTACTTAAAGAATTCTAATACGAAGTATCGAAACTGTACTTATGAGGAAATGAAATGGAAGAAATAACGGAGGTTCTCCGCTTAATTTTCATTGAAACAAGAGACATACCTGTTGGCAATTGCACCGTTTGCCCCGTAATGTTCTGTATAATCGAAGTAGGAAAGACATTCGGCGCTCTTATCAGGCTAACAGGTTGCGGTGTAATAATAGTCTGGCCATTGGCTAATTGAACCTGTTGACTAGCTAGTTGCATTTGCTGACCATTCGAGGTTGCAAACTGCATCGTCGGCTGCGTTTGATGACCGCCCCCCGCGGATATCGCGGAGGACGGAATAAACAGAGCCTCTTGTCCATCTATATTGACGGTCTGCATCTGCGGGATTACACTGTAACTAAGCTGCTGCTGCTGCGGTTGCTGCGGCTGCTGTTGGGTTTGTTGCTGCTGCGGCTGCTGCTGGTTCTGTTGTTGCTGCTGCTGCTGAAGAGCCTGTGTCTGAGTACTAATAATCTGAGCACCCTGTAAAAGAAAGTGGGCGTTTGTCAATTATCGGTGAATTATTTATCGTGACTAAAACACAAAGAGGTGAAAATACATTGATCGAAAGGTGAAATATATATATATATATATATATATATATATTTATTTATTTATTTATTTATATATATGTACAGAGCGTGCGAAGTATTTATAATAATTAGCAAACAACATTACGCGATTGCGACTTTACATACCTGTAAGAATTGATGGGGCAGAGACTGGACAGAAATTGTCTGCGCTCTCTGCTGATCATGCTGTGTTTGCTGAGTTTGTAAAGGCACAAAATTCTGCAGCTGTTGCAGAGTGATAACTTGCGGTTGTTGCTGCTGTTGCGCCTGTTGCTGAACATCCTGCTGTTGCTGCAGTTGTTGCAATACGTTAGCACTTAAGAAACGAATTTGCGGCTGGGCAGTTTGCTGTTGTTGCTGATCTAATTGTTGCGGATCCGCCTCGTCCTGTTGCTGCGACGGCAACGGTGCCTGTAAAGGATCCGACTCTCCGAGTTCATCCTGCAAATGTACGTTCATCAACACATCAACGTAGAAAAATAGATATTACAAAAATAACATTCAAGCATACGACGAATATCTTACTTGCGAAATATTTCTCCCATCTATGCTCCGTTTCATCGTGAATGATTGTGTTTTACACTGCGCACAATTTATAACAATATGTCTGATGCTATTTCACATTGAATATCACTGTGCTGGAATCCATAATATAAGTATAATTCTGTCAATAACTGGTCTACAGCTACAGGCAAGTACTTGTTCTAGAAAGGATGCTCCTGAAAATAGAAAGCAAAAAGAAGACTGTGTGATTCATATCAATTTTCTTTATTAAATATTGTTAATTTTACAGTATATAAAACAACGTTCATTGCATAAAATCATATCTAAAATTGTATCAATTTTGAATCTGACGGCCAAAAGTCAAGAGTAAGGAATATTTCAAGAGGTAGATTTATGTGAAAAAATCAGGGCCATTTGAACACTCAACAAGTCACAATCTTAAACGATGTAAAGAATTGGTCGATTGTTAGAAAATTATAAATAGATTCGAGAGACGTCTCGTAAAGTAAATGTAGGTAGAGAAATAATACCGATGAGAATCGGGCTCTTCATGGTTGTTTATTAATACAATTTAAAATCATCCCCATATTTTCTTCATTAATTTAATATTGTGTAATCTGTTATTCATTTTTTGAACTTGTGTGTAACCTTTCATACATGCAAAACAACACTTTGCAGCTGTCGAATTGTCAGCCAGAACTGTGTCATGATGCACGAATAACTAGCGATGCATTTCAATATGTAAACATCCAGATCTGAGTCAGATGGCGTCAAAAATACTATATCCACGCTCAGTTTCTAGAAAGGTACGAACACGTGTTCTTTCAGGCACTTTGGGACACAGCCGTCCAATGGGAGAAGGTTCACGAGAATGATTCTCACGAATAATTTACAAGACAGGCCCTCTCATCGGTTACCAGATAAATGCTTCCCGAAACTTTTACAACGTTGCCAACCTTACAGAACGACCGTCGCCAACCCGTCACGTGAAAGCGCGGGATATTCAAATAAATGTACTATACGATCAGTCACAGATTTTTTTTACTTTTTTTTAGTATTAAAGTTTCGAAAGAAGCCACAATTGTTTCGCGGCCCTTTTTGTTTCTTGCATTCTTTAAGAAAAAAAATAAACACATGTGAATTTTTGTAACATTGGAATAGAAACCGAAGAAATCCGTGGAAAAGTAGGGAAAACTCGGTTTTTCGCAATATCACGTATTTAATAAAAAAATAAATGTATCTACTGAAAATTACTAAAAAACGAATTCTCCTATTGGACACGGGATACATTCCGAAATTTATTTTAAAAATATTGCAACCTTTTTTGTGGTTGACTATATATACGAGAAGTACTGTAACTAAAAATCTTATTTTTTATACTTGTTTTTTGTTTCCTTAAAAATGCCACATCGTCTAATTAATATTCGAGATATCATTGCTACTTCTTTGCATAACCGAGTCATGATATACAAAAAAAAATTTCGATATGTAATTTAAAAATTCTGATGATCCTGTACTTAGCAAACATTAAAGTATCTGTGCAATCTTATATAAGCGTTATCGTAGCTCGAATACAGAGAAAAATCGTGTCGCTCAATAAAAATTTATATGTCTTTGCGTTCCCATATTCACTATCAATATTGCAAATCTAGAGTTCGTGTTATTTATACTGTAGATTTGTAAACTATCATACATGAACATCATAACAAATCCTTCGTCTTAAGAGAGTCTAAACTCAGGTAAAGGTTTAGTCAATGTTTAGTTGATGAAATTGGGTTTAGAATGAAAAGCTGAAGGACAAGACCACAGAGAGAGAGAGAGAGATAGAGAGCTGAAAGCTCTTCTCTCGCTTTGTCCTTCTCTCAGTTTTCTTCTCGCTTCTCCGTGACCCTGTTTTTCGTACCTGCAAAACTTTCTCTTTTTCGCTTCCTTTTGTGTCGTACCTCGAGGACACGATTTTACGCGCGGAAGAAGCAACATAGTACGACGAATTTTTTCCTCCTTTTTTGGAAAATCGCGTCGGTACGAGAAGCAAGAGCCACGTGCGTTTCGACGGCTCTCAGCACTTTCTCTCTCTCTCTCTCTCTCTCTCGTTGCTCCTCAAGCAAAGGCCGTCGAGAGCGACGACGAGAGAGGCGAGACCGCGAACATCCTCCTCGCGAGAACCCGGTCGAGGGGACCGCCTCCTTACGCCCCTGTTTCTACCGCCCCTCCCGGCTCCTATCAAGCACGCGCACGAGCCCAACACAATGGCGATCTAACCATGTATGCGGCGCACACCCGCCCACTCACCCGCTTGTCCCCTGTGACGCTCCTCACTCACACCCTGGCGCCGCTGATAACGGGGAAGGCAGACTCGCGATGCAGCCTCCACCCACTTGGCACACGGGACTCCACCTAACTTGGAAGTACACCTAACGAGCACGTGTTACCACCTCGCCGGAAGATATCGGCGTCCTTACCTTGCGAACGCTAGCACGGTCGAGGCGTCCGACAGTCTCGGGCGAATAGTCTTCGCATCGAGACAGTTAAGACGCCCAGCAACGATACGCGTTCGTTCTTTCTTTCTTTCTCTCTCTCTCTCTCTCGTCAACGAGTACCAACTCGTTACACTCGGCCCGATAATTCGTCGATCGGTCGGTCCGAACTCGGTCAAAATCGATCGGGAGGCGTCACCGCACGTGCCTGCCTGTTTACAAGCGTACCAACACCAACAGCGCTTTCGGTGAGAGCAGTCTCGCCTGGAAACTCACAGCTCTCCCGTTGGCCTTTGTTCGCGCGTCGTCTACCGCCTGCGAGAGACACAAAGCCACACATATGCACACGTGCAGCGGCAAAGACGCGCGCCACTGAAGAGAGAGAGCTGTATGCGCCCGCGCACGCCAGTAACCAGCAGCAATCGCTAACTGCGTTAGGCGGCCTCCGTAGGTCGATACGATGACGCGAGATCCACCACGAGAGAGACGTCCTCCCCTTCGCGACGTCCAGCACAGAGCCGCGTCCACGTCTCTCTTCTCCCGCACTCGACGGCACTCAGCGGCAGTGACGACGACACAAACGCCAGCCCACTGACCGAACCCGAACGAGCCTGCGAGTAGGCCCGCGATAATACGGGCGGAGGAAGCGTTTCGCGCGAGAGAGAGTTGCTAAACTCGTTGCACGTGTGCGCATACACCCACTACACGCCCCGTGGCTGGCCTCCTCTTATTCACGTCTCGCGGAAACGGAAGAACGAATACTAACGAATACCGTCGTAAAGATACACAGCAGGCTGAGCATAGCCGTGACGACGCACAGGCGCACAGGCTCACGGACAGGGGAGCGATGGGGCGGTGCGCGAGGTCACAACGTCGCCAACGTTGCAACTTGCGCCCGGTGGATGATGGGACGGACGCGTCGATTGGTTGCTGCTGCTTCGCGCCGCTCGCGACTGGCTGCCACCACCGCCGGCCGGCCGAGTTGACTGGAGCTGCTCGGGTCCGGCTGGGCCGTCAGGGGCGTACGCGTTCCACCGTTCGGACGCCCACCCCATTAAACAGAGCTTTAACGCGCGCACTCCTCCTACTTTCTCTAGTCTCCCTCTTCCGCCCGTTTCTACCGCCGCGCAGTCCGTCCCGCCAAATTTTCGCCTAATACGCGGGAAACGTGTCACCTCGGCCACCCGAACAATAGCGCGTGCCTCGGTTCGTCCGGCGACGACGCAGCGCAGACGAATCCACTCGCGAGGAAAGGCTCGCTCGCTTCAGTCCTTTTCCGCCGAGAGCATCGAGAAACTCGCTCGCGACTGTTGATATGCGGGGTTATTTCGAGAATATCGGCGAATGAGCGCGCGTGAAACGAGCAGTATAGACGAACTGCGAGGACTGAGTTCAAAGAGGATCGCTCACGTGCAATCGGCTCGGTGTTCGAACGACGCGCGAATCTTTTTCGAGAACTTTTCAAAAACTGACAGGGTATTATCTCTCGGATTAATTTTCCTCTTTATTGTGTCTCGTAATGCATGATATTCGAACCTGTAAATAAGAATATGCGTAGTCGAATTACAGAGAAGATGGAGATGGTATTAAGCAGAAGACTTAAGTTGTAATGAGCTGATCTTTAACGGCTGAACTGACTGCGTTGGCTTGTTCGAGTCCTGTTTTTCTCTTTTTTGTACACAGAATCATGTTTTTTTTCAAATTCCGAAAGTCTGCACTAGTTCGGTGATGAAGAACAGACTCTAATATGATAGAGTAGCATATAATGAATGATAAGATATAATGACAATATATAATAATAAGATAAGAGTGATAAGATATAAAGATAATATATAATTACAATATATGGAGAATGTCCCGCAATTACTATTTTAATAGCATATTTTAAAGATCGATAAATGAGTGTCGATGCAATTACATTTCATATTTTTAAGCTTCTTATTAAAAATAAAAGTTAAAAATAATCTCTATAACAGTAGCATTTAGATTTTCGCAACATTTTCACTGATCAAGTTCTTACTCTTCTTACTCTTTAGTTGCTCCATCAGATTCTATAAGGAGCTTACTTCCTGTCTCAGGCTATTAGATGCTTGCTGTAATATTTTTATTTTTCTTCTCTGTTCCAAAATGGTCTTTCTGGCTGCATTTAGAGCTCTTCCAGGATTTAGAGCTCTTCCAGGATTTCGCAGGTGGCATATATTGACATCACCAGGATATTGTTATAACTTTTTCAAGGTCTTTGTCACAGTAGGTTCCAATATTGCACATACATCTGAAGAGAGATAGTTACAGGAGAAATATATTTCCTACATCATTGCTTTTTTAACTTTAACAAAACAAGCTAATGTTTTGCACTTAACTTTTGCCGTAAAACCATAAAATCTTTTTTAAAATATTTGTTACAAAGTACAGAGTAGCGGGTTATGTTTAACTCCTCCATATTACAAAACTTCAACCATATTTTCTTCTGTGTTATATCTTTAGGAAATCTAAATATTATATAAGCGAAATACGTACACTAATCTATTACACTATTACTTTGTATATGTATATATATATATACAAATGTATATATATATGTAAAATATGTAAGATAGTTGAATATATATGCAAATATATATATGCAAATATATGTAAGATAGTTGAATGCTTATTCTCTCATTTAAAATTGCATATCCCAGATTTAAGTAAAAATATATCAAATTAACTCGTTTCTGGGCATAGAAGAAGGTTCTGGAAGTTAAATTGTCATGTGTCAATAAAAAGAGTTTTCTAACAAAAAAAATAGTAGCGTGTTGTAGGTTATGAAACCTATCGTACACCTACGTATAAAAATGAATCAGTCGAGTACATTTTTATTAAAACGTGAGTTTAGACCATTAAACGAAATATTGACCAGTTATGTAGATAATTTCAAAATTATAAGAGGGCTTAAATTACAATACTTACTTATGGTAAGATACTTTCATCGCTTTTCGACAATTTTTTCCGCATAATATACAATAACGTCCCATTTCAAGATGTAACAAATTTTTTATGTGTGCGTGGTTTGAAATTTTAAAGCGTATATTTTACAATATACATAGAACAGTTAATATACTTAATTGGTAGCTATTTTAAATAAATAGTAAAATTAAAGGCCTATATCCAAACAAACTCATAATGCATAAGGAAATCACCCAATCATGATCCGTGTAATTGAGGATATATTAGACACACGATTGGTCAATTTCTTGGTCTGTTCTTTTCAGCTGAACTAAATTGCACTTTTTGCTTTTAAGGCTTGTGTTCGCTATATTAAGTTCGCAACAGAGGATATTTTTCTTGCTGGATTAAATTACTAGTTATATCTAGTAATATACCAGAAATACTGCGTTTTAATTGGTACATTATAGTGTGTTACTAGATCTCATCAGATTCAGCAAAGAAAACAAACGCTGTGGGCTTTAGCCAGAATCTATAACAGATATAATAAGCTTTAAGCTGTAAGAAATTGATCAATCACAATTTATTTAACTAATCATGAATTCAAATAACTAATCATGATAAAGAAAACTTTGCTTATTTTGTTCTGCTAATGCTCGTTTCTACCATTATGATTCAAATTTAATCGACGATTAACTCAACGGAATTGATCAATGGTCAGTTCATCAAGTGGCTAATACGATTGGTCAATTCTGTTGAATTAATCATTAATTAAATTTAAACCACGATGGTAGAAACTGATAGTGTTTCAGTTGTATACATTCCCAGTCGAACAACGACCTGTGATTGGATGGTTCCAATATCTCCAGCAATGGTCCCTAAGCATAGGCCAATTACATAGGCTGCTGTACTTGGCTGTGTGCAGCTGGGACTCGCTCGTAGAAATAGATATAAGAAAACCCATCTTCTAGGAATTTTCCAAAAATAAATTCTTCCATGGGCCATCAGTTGCGTTTCGAAGTGCACCTAAAAAAAATTGTATTATCACCTTTACATCCGCGATTACATTTCGCTCTTGTGTGCGCAAGTTTTGTGCCCCTCTCCTGGATCCACCATCACTGATCGTCCATTACCCACCACTGTGTGACGATCATTTCGGGTTTGTCCGTCGGAGCAGCGCATAGTCGCGTTAAACGTGGCTTGGAGTTCCAACGGTCGAAATACGTATAAGTTAATTTGTTTTATCTCGAAGGAAAGCTCGCAAATAATAATCAGCCAAGATGTTTTGGGGTAAGCGAGATATATTTTTATGTTTGATAAACTTTATACTTGATAAACATCGTTAAGTGACAATCTACCGACCAAGCATGTTGCGAGATAGCATTGCCATGTGTTCGCTGAAAATTGCGCGTTTTTATATAAAATTCGTAAAATTACTCATATGTAATTATTATGTTTGATTCTGCACGTTGCAGGTTTGATAATGGAACCGAACAAATGGTACTCGCAAGTCGTAGAGAATTCGTTCCACGTGTCGATGGCAAGTTTAGATGTTGAAACCGCCGGTAAGTCATGCGTTAACACCCCCTGCAATTATGCTTGCTTGACTAAAATAGACTTTTTCTCCTTTGATATATATGTATATGATGATGAACTATTTTATTTACGCACAATACACCCGTGGAAAATATCCAAACGTATATGTATTTTGCGATAAATGATATGCCGGGAATTTTTAGGTTAGCATCAAACAAAATCACGTTAACCTTTAAATACTAAGATTAAAATTTCTAACATTTGGGATAAATTCATATATTTCGGGAGAATATATGTGAATTTGCTGTAACTTTTTATTATATTGTTTTCATAACTGAAATGTGATAAATTGAAAAAAATCTGTATATATATATATATATATAATAGCTGAATTAATTTATAAATATGTATTAAATAGTACATGAAAACTATGATAATATTATTATATTAGTGATTTATGTAGCACAAAATAAATAATTATAAAAAACCTTATGTAATTATAATTGATATATTGTTGTCACAAATGGTATAATATATAAGACAATATTTATTCATTGACTAATATGTTATATTTTCTTTGTCATAGATGATGGAATAGTACAAGTAATATTGTGTTATGGAGATAGAAACTATCTACTGTGTAGTTTAAAAAAAAATTCCACATGGCAAGTACCACTTGATTTAAATTTTCAAGAAGGAACTAAGATAGCCTTTACATGCAATGGTGAAGGTCATGTACATCTGACTGGATATATGATTATGGATGAAAATACAGATGATTTTGATAAATATGAGGATGAATCTGAAAACGAGCAAGAAGAAGTACAAGTAAACAAGAAACTTCCAAAAAGGAAAGCCACAGAATCGCCGAAAGAAGAAAAGGAATTAAAGCGTCTAAAACAACTGGTAGAAGCGGAATCTTCTGATGACGATGATATTGAAGAGGATGGAATCGACCAAGATGATGCTGAAGATTCTGATGATGAAGATAATATGCAAGAAATAGAAGATGATGATGATGATGATAACGATGAAGAAGAAGAAGAAGAAGAAGAAGAGGACAATGATGACGAAGAAGATGACGAAGATGAAGAAGATGAGGAAGATGAGGAAGAAAATAAGATGCAGATACAAAGGAAACCAACGAAACAACCTCAACAGCATGAAAATAAGAAAAAACAGACTCAAGAGCAACAGCAGCCAAAGAAGAAGCACGATAATCAAAAATTAATAAATGGAAAAGAAGTCAGATCAGAGCAGCAAAGTAAACAACAAAAGAAGAACAAGGTAGAGCAAGCGCAATTGCATCAACAAAACGCTCAAAAGGAAGCAAAGAAGCGAGTCGTAGAGGGTGGTGTGCTAGTGGAGGACAAGAAAATAGGTAACGGTGCAGTGGCGCAATCTGGCAAGTTCGTTGCTGTTTATAGCGTGGGTCGTTTGAAAAACGGGAAGAAGATCGATTCGACATTAGAAGGAGAAGGCTTCAAATTTCGGCTTGGCAAAGGGGAAGTGATCAGAGGTTGGGATGTAGGAATCGCTGGAATGAAAATCGGCGGAAAACGTCGTATTACGATACCTCCCAATATGGCGTATGTATAGTTTATTTAATTTTTCATTTTTGTTCTAAGTCAATGTTCATATTGTTATTTATTCCTACAAATTCCTGTTTTCAAATCGCGTTTTATCTCGTTATTCAAACAAGAGGCTTGTTTCATTGTTTATCCCGGGTTACATGCAAGTGCGTACGAATTTAAATGATGAATCTTTTACAGGTACGGAGCAAAAGGTTCCCCTCCCGTCATTCCTGGTAATAGCACGCTTATATTCGACATTGAACTTAGGAAGGTCTATTAAATTTTTTAAAACATCCGAGTGCTTGTTAAAAAAATAATTTAAGTATACTTATGTAAGTCTGTACGTTCTTCTTATCTTATAAAAATCCGTTACTTTGTCACTATCGCATTTTGGACCAGTTCTATTTTATACTCTATGAACATTTGTTTTTAGAGATAAATAAAACAGAGAAAAAAGGGAGGAACAAGGAAATATCTCTATTCATAATACTGCCATATCATTTTTTTCCTAATAAGTATAAAGATAAATGAAGCATCGTGTGCTAAGTTGAATAATATATATATATGTATATATATGTAATACAGAATGGTGTGCGTTCCATGTATTACATACAATATATATATATATATATATTTGATCTACAATATATATATATATATATATTGTAGATCAAATATATTGTCAACTGTCAGTACACTAATTATGTGTAGAGATTTCTGCAAAATTCATAACGATTATTTCATTCTGAATATTCTGATCAAACAATTTATAAATAAATGACACTTGTATTAATAAGAGCTTTACCTCATTAAATATTTTCATGCATTTCCTTAGAATTTATAGCTTCAAAAATGAGTCACTATAGAGCTTATTATTTAAGATAATATAAATATTGATTTTTTAGAAGAATTTTTTCTAAAACAAGATTTAAGTGATACTAGAGGAGCTATATTTTTGTTACTCCATTTTTCCTCTATATATACATATATACGTACAATAAAAAGATAATTTGAATATTAAACAATCAGACTTTCCAAAGCCTGTAACAACACGATCAAATATAAAAATTAAAGCAATCTATATTGATTACACACAATCCATATCTTCCAGTGGAACAAAGAAAGATTCAATCGTCCTTTTTTATGGTATCTCGATTATCTTTCCAGGATAAGGTGCATGTCCCATTTTTACATTCTTTCACTAAATCTGGACATGGTTGATCCTCCTTGGCCTCTTCCCCTCGATTCTTTAATTGCCATAATTTGAGCAATAATGGTTGTAGTAGGAATCTCCATATTATCAGGAATATTGGAATGGCAAAGCATGGAACGCACACCATTCTGTATTTCGGATATGTTGCGATCTAAAATTAAAGAAACCATTTACGTGGAAGAAACAAAAGATATTCTGCTTAAAGCAACATCTACGATTACATGTCGGTTTTAATTTCGATCAGTTTTATTTCTCGTCTATACGTACTGCACATGTTTAAAGAATATAAGTCTTACCTCGAGAATAAATGGAAACAACGACCGTGACGGGTGGGTGTCCACCTGATGACAATCAAAATGCAAGGATCGATGCGAGCTTAACCTTGACAATCAATAAATACAAAAAAGAAATTCCAGTGAAAGACGTATCGTATTCTTGAAATGTGAAAATCGTCACGAGTCCAGGTTCAGATATCAATACAAGACGTACTGAGATAACGAGCTACTCGTCGCGTCTTTAAATTGCGTCAATTGTATCTGGCGATGACGCTTCATAATATTGTTCGCACCGATATCAGAATATAGAGAGATAAGGTGTGTACCTTTTAACTATGCTGGAACTGAAGCAGAAGTTTAGACCCGTTATACTTTTACAAGCGATATCGCCTGCCTCTTTGTGACACTGTAGACCCGTTATTTCCATTAGTACCGAAGTCGCCGCTGCGAGTCGCTGCCTTCCTCAACGAGGAATCGAGGTTATGGTACGACTCAATGATGGCTACATTCCGAGAATGTGCAGGAAGTACTGACAGTAACTGCAAGTCCATAGTACACGTAACGTGAAATATAGATCTTCAGCATGTCAACACATTTTAGAGTACAGTCCATATGTCAAGCGTAGTATTTTTATTTTTTAAGTAACATTATTCAATGGCAGGTTAGACATTTCTTTCCTCTCTTATCATAAAAAACTGCGTTGTGTTTTGCAAATCGAAGACATTTGGTTTGCTCCAAGGAATTCATTGGCCAGATATTATCTTAAGATAATCTTTAAGATCAAACTGATGCCTTTTGCAGAATCGAACGCAGCTAAAAATGGATGGAAAATTCAGCGAGCTATAACTTCAGCAAAAATGACGCCTGGAAACTGTATACATCAAACTATAAAATACATCTTGAACTATTTCATTATCATTATTATTCCCGAAGACACAGCCCCTTGAATTCATCATATCGATTCGTCTGTATTCACTGCAAATCTCAGCGCAATTCAATGATGAAATCGAGCACCACGAACTACTCTCTCGATCTATTTAAACAAAATTTTTTTTCACTTTAATCAAACGAATTTCGAGAATATCGAGAGGACAATCGATTCTTTTTTGTCGAATTGAAATATCGAACATCGTCCAATCGCATTATGATGTATCATGATGCAATCCGCACAGACCATGCGCCATAGGTAGGTTGAATCCGTCGAATATGGGCGGTCGTCAACATTGCCTGACATCGTCGTCGACTAACCTGCGATATTCGTCGTCCAAAATTCCAAACTTTCCGGCGTTCAATCGCATCGACTGTCAACAACAATGTCTTCCGCCGGTGAGTATCGTTTTCTCGCGACGAGTTCGCGATTTCTCGCGGCGCTTCTATGAGTACGTCACGTGAAACTACTTGCCGGCGTCTAATTATCGATTGACACAAAACAGTGGCATCGCGATTTTTCTCATTAATGTGCGGCTAATGTGGAACTGCGTACATCTGTCGTCGTCGGTATGACAATGAAATAAAAAAATTCTTGCTTCTCTTTCTCTCTCTCCAAAAATGTCGCGTGTACACAGCGCTATAAACGATCATTGAACGCTCAGTGAATTCTCGAATTCAGTTGGTGCGTACTTTCTAATTAGATCAAAATCAAAAGGTATAAACCAATCAGTCCGGAAGCTCATTAAGCTCTCAATAAGCGGTGTGTTAATGATGAAAAATCCTTTCCTTAAAAACATTCAAGGGCGATTTTTATCAAATTCAGATAAAAGTAATTGATGAGATAAATAATGAAAAGAATCGCTATAGTTTTGAAGGCTCAGAAAATACGGTTTTGTTCCCATTTTTCATGGATCATTTGGAAAAAATTAACGTGTGTTCGAAACCTGCCACATTTACTTTTTTTTCGTAAAGAAAATAAGAACTGAAAAAATGGAAAAAATGGATTTTTTCTGAATCTTCAAATTATACAGAATTGCCAACACTAACTGGAAAGTTAATTCAACAATAATCGAAAAGTTAAACCAGCGTCACACGATGCTTGTTTTTGTGCCGTATTGCTGGTTGACTAGAATACGGCGTTTTGATTGGTGCATTTCCGAAAATGGATATCGATATAGAACGCAATATTTCTATCCAGTAAGCAATCCAACACGAAAACGAGCATCGTGTGCTGCTGGCTTTAATTTCTATTTGCGTTGACAAGATAGAGAGGATAATATTTGGCTGACAGCAATTTTAAATCGTCGATTAGACTATCGATCAGATTAATCAGAATTTGGTGAAAATCACTCCAAACATTTTCACGTTTCATGAACTTACACCAAAGGAAAACACGTCAATCTTCCGAATGCGCCCATTCACGTAGATTGTAGAAACTGGCCTTATGTTCACTCGTGAACGTAGATGGCGTCGGTTGTACAGTTGGCAACAGTTGTTCAAAATAACAGTCGCGCGTGGCGGGAAAATTTTGGCGGTAAAGTCCGGTGCACAGTCACGAGTTACCTGTGATGCACTGAGCATTGTTGTTCTTCCTCGACAGAAGATCGAAGATTGACGGTTTTCGTGACCATCAGAAGTGCAGGTACAGTTGGATCGTGCGTAGCCTCAATATTGTTCTTCAGATTTAACACAAATAGGATCGAAACCCAAAACAATCGATTGTTTACGCAAACGAATAAACGGTAAACCTCGTGTCGTAATTATTATGATAACTAACGAGATGTTTAAACGCGACATTGCTGCGAAAACACGGCATAAAATTATTCGTTCGATTGGATTAATCATCGGTGATTACAATAATCGAAAAGGAAAATGTTCCACTGCTTGCGTGAAAGTAACGATAGATTCACGACGTAAACCACATCACAGAATTCGCATTTGTCATCGTTATTGCCTTCATAAAAATAACTGATTATATTGTGATTCTATTATTTATATTAAGTGATTACGTGATATATAATGTGCAGATGTTCTATTTTTTATTTTTTAATACGAGAAGTTTTGCTTTAAGTTTTTATTTGATAATTCACTACATCATTATATTAATTTTAATTTTGAACAGGACTTAACAGTTTTTTTTGTTATACTGTCTTGTATTTTAACTATATTTTGGTCATAAAAGAGACATTTGAGAGTTAATTGCTGTATTGATAAGATTATTATATCTGAAGTCTTCGGTTATCTTTTGTATCAGCTTTGTATTTTTTGTTAAGCTAAGCAAATTTGTAACATTCCTTAGACAGTAATGCTTGCATCTTTTAGGCAAGGAAGCTCTCAAAGTATTTATAAAGATGTCTGGCTCACCTGGCAAGTTGTACAAGCGTCCCTTCACAGTGTGCGTCGAGGGCAACATAGGAAGTGGCAAAACAACATTTCTAAGTCACTTTAAGAAATTTGAAAATGTTACTGTATTGGAAGAACCGGTTGAGCTTTGGCGCGATGTGTCAGGAACCAATCTTCTGGTGAGTCAGAGAACATGTTTTTATATTACATTATTATTCATCAAATATATTTTATATGATGCTTCTTATGTTAGGTAAATATATATGTGTCATTGTGAAAACAAATACTTTATAATTATAAAAGAATTACCAAATATAAAATATGGTTTGATGGTGTGTACGTGCAGGTGTTTAATAATGAGATACAATTAGCAAAAAATATATTTCAGGAACTAATGTATAAAGATCCAACTCGTTATGCTTATTTATTTCAATCGTATGTACAATTGACCATGCTTCAATTGCATACTTGTATGACGCCTTCACCATTCAAAATTATGGAGAGGTCTGTCTATAGTGCGATGTGTTTTGTTGAAAATCTGAAACGTAAGAAACTGCTGAGCAATACTGAGGTACATATCTTGGAAGAATGGTATGATTGGTGTGTGAAGAGCGCCAATATTGAAACCGACTTGATAGGTATGTATCATTTAACTCTGATTAAATTGGATCAAATAGAGATAACAATTTGGTAGGTATGTGTCATTTAACTCTCAGATGAAATTACATCAGATAGGGATAGTGATATGTGTGATGTGTTATGGCTTTGTGAGTCTTTCAAGCCAGTCTTCCCGGTTGCGTAAAATAAGCGAAACTGTACTATCTTGCCCGATATGGTTTAATTTCTCCATCCGTCGTGTTCTCCTGATCGAGACCTACCTTGTTATTAACAACATTTTTTCTCGATTAATTCTTTATTTTATTATTTTCCAACCAATTATTTATTGTCATAAATTAACGTAATAATAATTTGTAATTATTTTTTGACTAATTACAAAGAAAAAACTGATAACTTTTTCTTTTATTTTTATTCAATAAAAGTTTTTCTTAGTTTTTTCTCTTTTTATTTCCTTTTTATATATTATTTTATTATATATTTATATTATCATGTTATATTATTTTATCTTAAGGAAAATTAATAGGTCGAATGTCCAACAAATAAGTTCTAAAGTTTTCGCTCAAATTAGAAAACATTAATGTTCGGACACGTTATTTATTTGTTTCCTTCTCCATTTCTCTTCCTAGTATACTTGAGAACAACACCGGAGATTGTATACGAGAGAATGAAAAAACGAGGACGGAAGGAGGAGAACATGGTGTCGTTGGAGTATCTGAAACAGATTCATCAACTTCACGACGAATGGCTGTATCATCAGATGTTGAAACCAGTACCAGCACCGACCATAACTATAAACGGTGACCGAGAACTTCACGAGATGGTAGAGGAGTTCGAAAAGTGTAAAAATCAGATCTTCAATAAGATAATAGATAAAGATGCAAGTAATACGATGATCACAACGGTACCGACGAATTGCATAATACCCAAAATCAAGGCTGGAATCTCAGATTAAAATGCAAACAGAAATCGCAGGCAGTGTAAGCAACAATGCAAGAGTACAGTAACCTTGATTTACACAGTACGATATTGGTGAAATTTTAATAAATATTTTACGAAAACTGTGGTATGCACGCACTATGTTAATTTGTGTACAAAATTTTAAATATTTAATATTTCAGTTTTGCAATTATATTTCTCGTTGCTGTGTGCATATATTTTTATATTTATATTAAATTTGTGTAAAAATATATTGCTGCCAACTAAATTATAAAAATGAAAGGAGGAGAATAGTTTAATAAAAATTCGACGTATATATAAAAAGAAGTTTAAGGTTCGTGAAGATATATATATATATATTCGACTATAAAACATTATTAGTGCAGTTTTTGGTGGAAATATTTAAGATTACAATTCCAAACGTCTTATAATATCAATATGCATTTAGATAATATCTACTAAACGTAGTTTTCATTTAGCAATGAGACAAGTACAAAATCATATTAGTATTAATTACTTTCGCGTATTATCAATTCGGAAAGATGACTTGAATTAGGAATTAGAAGAGAAGATGAAAGTCACTGAAAAATCTGATATACAGTAAAGAAAAAGTTAAAACACTGCGCATGCAGCTAGACATCCTTTATTCTTTGTAATACTTCTTGTTTATGAAACATTTGAAGAGCAAAAGACTTGCGAGAGACAATGTTGTATGTATATAATTATATATTAATATAAAATACATTATTATACATATATAATTATATATTATATATACAATATTATACATATATAATTATATATATTAATATATAATTTATATACATATAATATACATATAATACGTACGTACGATATCATATAAAATATAAACTATATTTATAGTGTTCAAATTTAATTAATGATGAATGCGAATGTACGTCTATACGTCAGGATACATGGATTCATTTTTTTATATAACTGAATGGAATAAATAAACTATATAGTTTGCAGAAAATCGCAGTACACATTTATTCTAGATTTTACAGTGTGGATTATATGGATAAGTAACAAAATGTGCGCGCGCGCGTGTGTGTGTGTGTGTGTGTAAATGACGATTATGCGTATGTGTGGGTGTTATGTTCGAATATTATTAACCAGATCATGTTTCCGGCAGGGTCGCCAGGAATTCCTCATTGAAATTCTGTACGATGCCGAATCGGACGAAGGTCGAATGCACATGTCCACTCGGTATTCCTTCGACCGGTTCGGCACGATAAAAACGAATATAAAAACGACCTTCACGCGATATCACGTGCATGGTGAATACGCTATTTACGAGTTCATGCGCGCTGAAGTATATATATATACATACGATACGTATAAAAATAATTGGAATGCTATTTTGAGTAAAAAAAACAATCGCGCTTGATTGCGCACGTATGTACAAACGTCTCTCAAGATGAGAGATGCGGAAATTTCCTGTGACGTGCCGCCGGCTAAAACGGAGTCTTGCGAGCCGCGACTAGCCGTTCGACGCAATCGTACTCTTGACAAGACCACAATGCGCTGACTAACGTTCCCAGTCGGGCGTCTTGCGTGTTAGCTTGCTTCCAGTCGAGCAGCAGCTGATATATCACCTGAAATCATTGCATATAGATGAGAATTGTTCAGCAGGATAATTAAGGACACATTTCGTGGATTCACGGTTTATAATATATACGAGCGGAAAATATTCGAGCATGAGTGCAGCGTGTTAATTAATTGCGGAGAAACGCCGATTCTCTTCAGGTCAGAATTTTAAGTATTTATTTGATCGAACGAGATCGTCGAATTAAGCTTGGATCTACAATAGATATAGTAAGCCAGCCTTTAGCTTCACTCCGGTAGGTTCCATGAAGGAGTTGAAGGCAATGAAAAAACGGATGAGCTTGCTTAGTCTGCGTTGATAAACAAAGAGCTATGCAAGAAGTTCTATCCAGATGCGGGAAGATCGAAATAGAACCTCATATTAAGAAAAGCGAACATCGAGCGAAGAAATTCATCAACTTCCCGCATAAGAGAACTGAAATAGCTTTTTCTCTTGATAACGGAAATTTGTCTACTCTAACAGGCCTGTACATAGACTACTCTTCTAAAATACTATCTACACAAGATTGGCAAAGTGGAGGACATTTGCTGACTTTGTAATGAGGCAGAAGAAACAGCGAAACACATTCTTTAACCGCCCTGCTGTTTGTCATCGCAGACTCGGTTATCTAGATGAAGACGACCACGACAGATAAATTAAAGAAGACACATTTTCGACAAATTTTAAGCTTCTTCAGAAGTCTGCAATTGCTCGAAGAGAACTCTGAGAAAAGACTTTGCTACAATAGAGAACCTGATGGATCGTGACTAGCATGGTTATAGCCTGCAGTCTTTGTAATGATGATGATGAAGCCTTTTAGCTTCTTGCTCTAAACACTTAATTGTAATATAATTTCCAGCGCTATCAGATGTCGCAGTTCCTAAGATTAAAGCGTTATTATGATCCTTGGTAGCGCGGGAAACGTATTTCGTCAAGAATTACGTTACATCTTGTAGCTTAACGTAAAGTGCTAGTGCTTAGAATAAAAGCCGTAGGCTTTGCATGTATAGAGTTTCTACACTCATTGTAGATTCAAACTTGACTTTTTGCTCTAAGCATTAAGTTGTAACATGATCCAACAAAAAGCGTTTTCACGATTTCTAAGATTTAAGCGTTGTTACGATCTTTGGCAACGAGGAGAGCGCATGAAAAATTACGTTACATTTTATTGCTTATCTGGTTCGAAAGATCAAAGACTCACTACACCCATTGTAAATCCGGACTAACACAAACGAAGGTGATCGGTCCGGATTACTCGGAATCGAATATCCGGTTTTGAAAGTTCGACATTCACCTCGTCGATGCCCTTGTGCCTGTAATTCTCTTCGAACTGTTCGATCTGACCGTCCGAGTACGACAGCCTCCTCGCGACGTCCCTCCAGCCGTGGCCGACGTGCGTCTTGACGGTGATCATATCTTCGAACGCGAGCTCTTCGTCGCACTCGCTCAGCTCCTCCACGTTTTGTGGCATCGGTCGGTGCTTCGGCTTCGACCAGGATGTCTCAGGCTGCGTCGTCGCGTTGTTGTTCGTCGCATAGTGATTCACGTTGCATACGTAGCTCGTCCGCGAGCCGATCTTTACCCCTTTCGAGTTGACGATGTTATAATTCACGACGTTCGTGGCTTGCGCTGCAAAACGAATTTCCAAGAATTCAATAAAAAAGAATCGACGTTATCTGTAATTTTGAATATCGCACAACAAGAAGCGAGAACGTCTCTCTTTCTTTCTTTTTCTCTCTTTCCCGCGAGACAGAGGTTTCTCTTTTCTTCGAAGTATCTCCGAAAATATAATGCGAAGTTAGAAAAAAAAGATGCTTTAGATAAAAGTTACGCAGAGCGCCACGAAAGACACTCAAGCACGTAGGAATCCGCGATAACGTTTACGAATCGGTCAAGAAAATTATGCGTGTCGCATTGCTTTGAAGTATTATCAGCGTTCTGCCTCGGGAAGTAATTTTGCAACTGTGCGCGTACACTCCGTGCGAGCTGCACTTTGTTTTGCTGCGAACTTCTTTTTTGCGAACGTGTGAAAAGAAACAGGCGCTCGTTCTAAATGAACGATGAACGTCTAATTGAGATCAATTACGATGACAAGATCTATTTGCAGTAATCTTGAATCTTCAATGAAAATTAATTTCTTGATATTAACATTATCGCTGTCTCTTTTCTTTTCTCGAGAGTTTTGAACTTTTATCAGTTCTCGAGTTTAAGAAAAATAAAACGGTAAGTGAGTGAATGAGTGAAAAGCGAGTGAATGAGAGTCAAACGCTGATCTATTAGCGAAGAATATTTAACACATTGCGGACCGCTAAGAAATCTGTAAGACATACGCCTGGGACCGCACGTTTTTGGGCAAACTTGCACGTTACTAAAATCGTCATAACATTTTTATTGATGAAGCAATGTTTGTCAAACTCTCAGAAATTACAAAATAGGACGCATTTTAGGTATTATTGAAAAAAATTATGTTTTTTAATAATTATCATAACTTTTTTTACTTGAAAATAAATTTTTACGAATTTTTTAAAAATTGCAAAATAGGATGCATTTCAGGTATTATTAAAAAAATTGTTTTTTAATAATTATCATAATATTTTTATTTAAAAATCAATTTTAAACCAAAGTTCCTAGTACTTTTTTGACACATTGTTGACCGGCAATTTTACTTAGAATTTATCTCATGTCATCGGCTATTATTTCGTAATTGGATGTGGAAGTGAAACAATATAAATAAACTTCAATAAATTTTATTTAATATTTAACTTTTAATATTTCTTTTTGGTATGGTACACAACAGGTTTTGCAAATGTATCTTGTTTCGATCGCGCAAATGTATCTTGCATCGATCACGAGTTTACTCGTGGCCGGTCGGCAACGTTTGAACAGGAAGACACGAGTTAACTCGTGACCAGTCAACAATGTGTTAAAAAGAATAATATGTAAGGCTCTCAAAATATACAATTCTTGAGTAATTGGAAAAGGCAGATAACAGCTGGCGCTAATAATTGGTTGCGAAATTCACCCGAAAGACTCCAATCTAACTGAAATTCAAATTCGAATATCTCACGTGAAGCAAGTTTCAGGTAATGATTATTAATACAAACCCCAGTATCTTCGATGAACTCATACAATTCTTAGTTTGAAGGTATCATCCTTTCTACCCAATATTTTCTCCTCTCCATTCATGAAAATTATTCTTTGCATGAATTTCTTCATGCAGGCAAGTTTTATCTTCACAAAAGATTACATATCCTTGTTTATATATGAGAATATGAGTCTTGAATTGATACTAATTTTTTTTCCGTGCAATTGTCGCACGTTCGGTGTAAACGCGGTGATATCTCTCCGTCACACTTACAATATTTACTGTGTTTCACTTTCGTCCGCGTCCTCGGTCGTTTGTATTCCTTCGATTCGTTCGTTGGCCCCGTGTGGTCTTCCTCTTTCGCGCAGAAGTCTCTCGTGGGCGTCGCGCCGTTCGGCATCGACTTCTGCCGTCGCACCGACGCCACGTCAATGTCGTCATCCTTCTTATCGTCGTTCCTGTGCAATTCCTCCGACGTGGTGGGCACAGATTTCGACCGCGTTTTCTTCGCCACCTCGTCCTCCGTCGGTGGCAGATTGTGTGTGTAACCGGGGATGCCGATGCGCGGCGGATCCGGTTTCGCGTCCGTCGTTAACATGTGAAACCGGCGCGACAGCTCCGAGAGAATCGGCATTTTCTTCAATGCCCGCTGTGCCTGGAAATGATGCGTCCTTGCATTAAATTTCACCTCGCGATCCGATGTTCGTCGCGTTGTTCTATTGTTCTTTAAACAAAAACTGCAATTGTCGAAGACGGCTCTTTTCAGACTCGTTCGTTAGATAAAAATAGCAAATAAAAGCCTTGTCGCAGTTATTAGTGGGTTATAATTATGTATTATGTAAAATAATTGATTTTTATTTAGTATATGATATAATATGGTATAATCATTAAATGAATTATATTTATAAAAATAACAGAAAATATACACATAATAAATAAATAAATAAATAAATAAGTATATATATATATATTTATTTATTTATTGTTTTAATTCATCTATATATAAATTAAAGATAATAAAAAAGTTATTTTTAAACGAGCAACTTTTGTTTTGTACACACGTATTTAATTTTTTACATGACACTTTTAATCATTACTTCACACATGTAATTAATATGCACTGACGACATGTTGATAAGGCTCTTGCTATTTTTTCTTAAAGGAACTTCATCAGAATCCCGTCATCTTGATACTGCTCTTAGAAACGCCATCATTTTTCTTTTACCTGTACACGGATAGATGACGTACTTTCAGGCTTACTATATATCAATTTCGCTGGTACGCGATGTTACGTAATGCCACGACTGACGTCAAAGCAGACGCTCCTTTCATTGTTTCTCCCTCTTTCATATTGATTAGACTCACGCTTCGACAGTAATTCATAACGGGAAGAAAATATAAATGGTAAGATACAGCTCGTTATTGTGATAACGATCAAAACACGAGGAAAAGGAATAGCTAAGGAATCTCACCGCAGTTTGCGTGAAATTCTCTTCATTGTATCATAAAATAATTGTGATGCGGAAAACTCTTATAAAATAAAACGTGAAAATTAGAAGATTGAAAAGAAGGGATTAGAATTAAATAAGAAGGTAGGAAATCCGTAGAAACGTAGGAAGGTATTCCAATAGATACCAAATCCAGAAATCGTACGTTTGTAATTTAGGAATTTAATATAATTTTAATTTTATTTTAGGAAATTTAATTTAATAATTTTAATTTTATTTTAACAACTTGTATATTTGAACAGTGATCATTTTATTTCACGATATGGATTCTTCGGACTCCGGTGTCTTTTGAAAATAGTATAGTTGTACAATGGAAAAAAAAAATAGATCTTTTCTCGTGCAAACGTACACCGTCACCGTAATTATGCCACTCTCGTGACTCTAATAGACTATTCCGTGTCTCGTGCTTCCGGTACGATCGTCGGATGCATACGTGTGTCTAGTCGAATCGCTCTCGCATGCATGGTATTCTTTAAACAAGTAGATCGTTCTACAAAACAGTTGAGCAATTTAGATTTTGATTGTTATTACGGCACTGTACAGGCTATTTCATGTAAATTGCGAATCGGAGAGATTATAAGAGATATTTATTTTATAAGAGAGAGAGAGAGAAGTTCAAAGAAGAGGATGTTACTGCAGACCTAACGTTTGCAACTCACGATTACTGTAAGTAGCAAATTGATCGAAATCGCATTTACGAACCGACATGTAAACTTCTCAGAAGCCAAAATGGTCAACTTTTTCTGCCTTTTTAAATTTTCTCAATTAATTTTGATTAAATTTAAATGTTTTTTATTTCTCAATTTCAGCACGACGAAGAGAGACGTAGAGCTTAATTTTGTCATAATCGAGAAATTTACACGGAAAGTGGTTTACATATATCCAAAAAAGAAAACTTTATGCATCTTCAAAGTGTACACGCTATGAAATCAAGCGAGACGAATGATCTTCCGAACGTTGCAGCATCCATTGTCATCTCCGCGGGAACATTCCCAGGACGGTCTCCGCGGTCTTCTTCCAGAAGAAAACACGTTGATCGCGCATCGGAAATCCCGACATCTCGCATCGGGTCTCTCGATCATTTTTCATATATCGAGGAACGTGTGAGTATATACGTCTACGCGAGCGTTATCTCGCGTCACAATTGTCGCGGTTTTCATCGAATTTCACCGCCTCCTCATCGTTTCAGGTCGGTCGCGGCGACGATCTCTCTCTCTCTCTCTCCCTCTCTCGCGGCAAAAGCGACGGGGAAATTCCGACAGTTTCCTCGGACGATTCGCCACCTCCGCGTTTCTGGTAATGACAAAAATACCGCGCTCTCGAGATTACATTGACCCGCGACGAACGACGACGTGGTGTCCGTTTCACTCGTTTGCCCGCAGCGATGACAAGTCGCGTCGAGCTCGCTGTGTCAAATATTTAGCGTGACGAGCGAGCACGTGTATGTATTATCGTAGCTGATACGCGCCTGCCGTCCGCAATCGACGCAATCCCACTTTATCGCGCTCACACGAATATGTGAGAATACTCGTCGGAGTCAATTATTCGCCGATAAATCCTCGGGTTTTCGAGCACGGAGAACGATCGGTCCGGGTCGACTCGCAACTTTACGACCGAACATCGAAGGTCTTTAGAGCGTCCTGTACACGCACGCGCCGGCCGAAGCGCATAAATCTGTTCCTGCTCTCGGTTACGACTTTGTTGCCGCGCAAACCGATTGCTTCCCGGAATCACGTTATTTGCACCGATAACGCGATTCTACGTACTCTTGTTAAAGACGACAGGTGTATTTTTTAACTGCACGAATGATGGGCGTGGAAGCGTAATACGCAGTTGTGCCCGTATGTTACGTGTGTATGCATTTGTGCGGCACATTGTTTCGTTCTTCGGCGGATGTTTCGGCCGGCTCTGCGATAAAGTCGGCTACTGATAAATTCAACGCTCGCGCGAGTCTACAGAGGATTTCGTCGCGATAAGGAAAGTTTGTATCCCGACGAGACTTGAGCGGTAAGACTTTAATTAGTCGCCAAGGGAGGGGGAGGGGGCGTCTCGGCTCAAATGTCATATATATTGCGCGTTTTAAATCCCTTTGAGAAATTAAGATTGATTTTTTATTTGGAAACCTTTTGTACGAGTGTCACTTTTCTTTCAAAACTATCTTGAGATTTCAGGGAAGAATCATAAAAACAATATTTTTCTCACGTGGGTCCCAAAAATCTACTATTCCGGTAGTGATAGTTGAGCACATAGTGAGTCATATATAGATAAAATGTCTTAACACTATGATTGCGATGGTTGAGTCTCAAATACCTATATAGAGTGAGGCAATAACTATGACCAATTTAAGTATCTTTGAAAAGTAGAAATATTTTATCAACGACCAAATGAGGTGGAGAACAGCTTACATTTGCGGAAAGTTTTCGACCGTGTCGGCCATTGGTACCGATTTCTGTTAGATATATTTTCCTCCTTATATTTTCCTCTTATATCTCAAGGATTCTTAAAATGATAATAATTATTGCCTCACCCTGTGTAATGTCCACAAATTTTCGTAACATAAGTTGAGAAAAGAGTTTCGATCGATAAGCGGAAAAGCCATCGGTCGTTTCTCGTCGACCTGACCGTCCTCGTTCAAGCGTCACTGTTCGTTATGTTCCGTCGCATACTCACCCCAGTTCTCGTTTGTTATCAGCTCAACTGTGACCCACATGAGGATTTAGCATCACTATGATAAACAGGAAAGCGCAGCGACGTATTTTTGTATGCACGCACTTGACATCGTGCGATAAAGAGGGAAAAAAGCAAATGTATAGTCGATCCGGGAAATGCCGCCCCAATATGGGCGAGATCTTTTTTAATTTTTGCTTCGAGGACTCGTGCATTATCTTTCGGACGAATGCAATCGGCGAGTGTAACGACCCGCGTGTATATAGTACTTCGTCGAGTATGCATGAGTCACACTTCGCTCAAGTTGAACGTCACCCACGTCAAAGGACATTCACTGCCCTACGTGATGCATTTTCTTTCACAATTGACGTCGCAATCACTGCCGAGAAACGGCAGTATACACGTTCTATATCTCGCGGGTTACCCGCGTTCAATGTGCATGTTAATTCTCAGTATATCGTCAGGTTTAATTAGAACCAATTTGAGCTCATCAGTTTTTCTTGCGAGTAGTTCTGATTGTAAGGATCGATATTCTATACCTTTTATCTATAAATTTGTGCTTCCTTAGAGATCTTCCAAAGAATCAGGAAAGAAAATTCACTTATTTATTTATTTGTTCAATCGAATAAATTGATCCTGTTACATTAAATTTTAATTTGTCTTTTTAGATCAATAGGAATCTTCAGAATTCTGAGAATGAATTTTTTTCGCTTCTTCGCAAAACAAGATGCTTGCGACGGGAGACCAGGGCCTTTAATCCCTCTATATTTCTCTTTATTTTCTCTTTAATTCTCTTCTTTAACTTCTCTTTGATTCATATCACGACCGAAACTTAACGATTCTATCTTATTTATAAACATGAATTTGAAATCCTCGCATCCGATTCAGTTCGATTTTCCGTTTCTTCAGTTAATCTTCGGCTTCGGACGCAAAAATGCCACACCTCACATCGCGTATCAATAACCTCCTCGATTCGACACCTTCGCTGTATCGCCTTCGGGACAATATTTGCACACCGGCGACTCTCTCGCTGTTGGAACAAACAGTGCAATGTCGTCATCATCGCGTCGGCTGCCATAACGTGAGCGATTAAATAATTAACCAGCCGAAGATCCCGAGCAATTTGTTTCTCGAGGACATCGCTCCGATAAGAAGATACTCCTCCGAACGCTCTCGGTGTTTGTCTTTCATTGCCGTCGTCGGACGATCGTAAAAGAAAATTTACATCTGTTGTTTAGTTTCAAGCAGATTCTCGTATCTGCCGACTCGAAGGAATCGATCGAACGCTCTGAGGAAATTTTGCAGATAAATCGGCTGGAGACGCGAGTGTTGCACAACCTATTACGCCCCACATAATGAATTTATTACACGCATTGTTACTTCTTTTCTTCTCGCCAGACACGTGTTCGCGAGCGCAATGGCGTCCGTGAGGGATACGCGAGGTTCGGTGATTGCTCATCGCGGAAAAACACGACGTGTG